TTTCATACTAAGAAATAATAGCACCAACTTGTTTTAGTATAAAAATATTGAAAGTAAAGACTAAACTTTTTTAGTCCTAGATGGACGGCCCCTTTAGCATTTGCCTATACTGCCTATGCCACGGGCCGGCACTGGTTGTGCTACATTCACCAGCATCTTTTTTGACTTTTTTTGTCCAATTCAGGCACTGGTTTCATAACTTTTGTAAAAACAGTAGTTTAAGTAAATTGTTTACAAATCTCTACAGGTTAATGTGTTTCGTGTCTCTGAATTGCAGCTTTCAGCTATTTTTCTTAGATAGGAAATTCCACACAATGGCATTTTGATCGTAGTCTTTTTGTCAGATAATAAAGATAATCTCTAAATTCCAGAAATATTTTTGTACCAGAGAGTTGAATGTGGTTTTCTTGCTGTCATTTAACAAAATAATGATGTAAAAATAACTTTAAACTAATCTGACAGGTGCCATGATGACTCAGTTTTAACATCCTCACTAAAAAATCTGTTTCATGTGCTTTTAAAATCGAAAGTAACTCTGAGGTTTGGTTGTTGAATACAACTCTGGACTTTGGCTGCCCTAGAGTTTGTGTGCAGAGACTCATATCAGAACAATGTATTGAGCAATTCTTTGTGAGCAAACACTCGACAAACTGAAACTGATTTCAACATTTGGTGTTTTATTATTTGTTTTAAGACTTTATTAACAGCCACAGACCGACATGCTTTTAACATTGTTGGAAACATTTGGGACAATATAAGCACACAACTCGACCACATATACAACATAGCTCTACTGTTTATAGACATTGCAGAAATCTGACAGATTATAGCTTTAACACAAGCATTTAGTGGATCATCTCCAGCAGCTGTGACGAAGCCAGATCCTTCACCACTAAGGATGAGCCCAAACATGCTGCCATCCGTCAGGGTTGGAATGTAGATGGACTGATAAACCAAGAGAAAACAACAAACAAAAGGAAAACCTGATAATATTTTTTCTCAAACTACCATGGCCACCTCTGAGCATCTGATTAAAAGTGCTACGCCCATGCATGTCTTACGTCAACTTTAAAATCTAGACACAAAATCTGAGACGTCTGCACTGACACAGACAGCCCCTGAAAGTGTCTTTCAGAGTCATGAATGTAAACCTTTCTAGCATGCGGGGGGGGGGGGGGGGGGGGGGGGCAGCAGACACCCTATTAGTGGTTCTGAAACCTGCAATCCAGCATCTGACATTCTGCCTTTGTATTTGTCCAGGACAGCGCAGACGATGTCAAGTCCAGACTGGACTGTAAGCAGCAGCAGACAAACCCGCTGCAGGAACTCTCCCTTCTTCAGTTCCTCAAAAGTACGAGACTTCTTTTCTTCTTCTGTTTCCTGTCTGATGTGGCTGCAGCATAGGCAACCACAGGGCATCTGCTGTGAACAGGGGTCACTGTGTGTTAGCATCAGCGCTAAATCAAAGAGTCCACAGCTGCTTTTAATTGGCTTCAAAACCTCTTTAAATTTAAATTCATCATCAGTTGGTAATTGAAAATAAAACATAATTTCACCCAAATTATAATAATTTCACTCTCTAGCAGAATCTGTCAGTTTATTGGCACAAGTTGTAAGGTATTTGTCTCTTCCTGCTTCCATTTGTGGTTCTCACAGCAGAAGGAAAACTCAATATCTCTTTCCAGGAACAGTGTCCCTGTTATTGTGGATCATCTATACATCCCACTGGTACTATTCCTTCAATATAATGTGCCCCCCCATGAGTACACAAGAAGATTTGTAGATTGTGTAACTGGGAAATTGTTACTGGAAAGACAAAACTGTATTGATTGAATTTGAATTCTCTTTAATTCTTTGAATCGTTGAGGTATCCAGAAATGCTAAATATTGTGCTGTGAAATTTGGGTGTCTCCGTCCATCTAAGCTCATCCGCCGTACTGTCCGCCTCTGCCCCTCAGGTTTCCCTCGTATCGCTCTGCGAACACTGCAGAGCCCCATCTACCTGCTGGTGGTTCTGGCCCAGGTCAACCTGGCAGCGCTGCTGGCCGGCCTCGCCACCTTCATGGCCAAGTTCATTGAGAGACAATTCAGCCAGACTGTCTCCTTTTCCACCATGATGATAGGTGAGAGTGCACTCGGGTTCAATGGAGGCCATCACCTGTGCATGAGTTTATAGTATGTGTTACAGCATGTATACTGGTATCAAACTGAAGTATTAAGTTAGCACGTAGAAGTTGTACTCAAAGGATTATTTGGTGTTTCAGGAGGAATCTGTATCCCGATGGCAGTGCTGGGCACCATCCTGGGTGGAGTTCTGATGCGGAGACTGAATATTTCGGTCAGCGGTGCCAGCAAGTTGTGCACCGTTGCCATCCTACTCTGCTTGTTCTCGTCCACGCCGCTGTTGCTCATTGGCTGCCCCACCCAGAAGGTTGCCGGGGTTTTTCCTCACAGGTAGCTGCAGTTGACACAGTCCACAGACCCTGGGGAACTAATTTCACCAGTCACTGCTGAATAATTTGACCACTAACAGGAAACGGATTTCATTACTGACTGGGAACCATTATTCAACCGGAAAGCAACTAACTTCACAGCTAAAAGGGAAATAATCGAATTTCTGGCTGTGAACTAAATTCACGGCTGATAGAAAAAGACTAATTGGGAACTAATTAGACCGTTGTCAAGGAACTCATTTCACAGCTGACTGACAATTAATTACCTACAGGGGACTAATTTCATTGATGGAGATTTTAGAGCAGTTATAATTCATTACTTACTGCGTGTGTGTATATGTGTGTGTGTGTGTGTGTGTTTTCAGCTCTAGTGTGTCGTGCAGCTCCGTCTGTCAGTGTCCTCAGGAGGCGTTTAACCCGGTCTGCGGTTCGGACGGCGTGGAGTTCAGGTCTCCATGCCACGCCGGCTGTAGCGCCGCAGAGATAGACAACGACGCCAAAGTCACAGTAAGAACTGTTTTATCAGTTTATTTTGAAATGATCCCGTTGTCACACACATCCTGACAAATACAGAACTTCACTGTTAAGCGTGCAGTAACAGTCAGCACAGTATTTGTGAGCTCATGGTTCTTGTTAAAGAGGATGACGTCACATATTATCTTCTGGTGAATACTCTTGTTTTACTTGGACGCTGCGTTTATCCTCTCTTGTGCTGTCAGATAGAAATTAATATAATCTGTTGTATCTCACAGTTTGATTTCATTCTACTTTTTATTCCGCCAACGCCGCTGTCTGTGGAAGTGGTCTCTTGTAACAACAGACAGTATTAACACGCAAAGTGAAAGCCAAACCAAACCCTCTGTCTCAGTCGGAGACTGAAAGCTGCTGGAAAGCTGGGGTAAAGTTCACAGAACTAGATAGACTGAAAAGTCACTTCCTCTTAGTTTCATTAGTAATCTTTAGATTCACTGAAGCGTTTGATATTTTATTTTCATGTTGGCAGCGATTCTGTATTTTTAATAATGAAAGTGAAAGTACAAACTGGATTTCTGACTTTCGACAAGTGACCAGATTTGCAAGAAGTGACATCATGTCCAGATGTTTGCAGCAGCTCCAGAGGAGTTTGTTTGATTGTTCTATGGAGGGTTTCACATCAGGGACCCGGGTCTGGATAACTTCTACATTACTCCACAGACCTGGAAGCTCTGTCTATTATAAATACTGTCAGTGGTTAAAACCTCACAGATAAAATAAGGGTTGTTATTGTCGATCTGCCATTTTTATGACAGAATTCAGAGGAACTGTTTGTGGAAAAGTTAGAAAGAGACCAGAAAGTTGAAAGAAGTGTCAATCAGCGGGATGAAATCTGTCTCTCTCTATTCATTTCACTCCTCTCTAACATGTTCCCTGGAACTGAAAGTGATGAGTGACAGAGCAGGTTAACCGGAGGAGTGACACACTCCTCATCCACAATCTGTGACGTGAGATTGCTCAGAAGAACTTAACCAACATCCGCGTTTGTTCCAAAGGAGAAAGAAGCTTCAGTTGTCTGTACTTCCTCTTCCTCTCTGCTCAGTTTTCATTATCCATTAGTCTCCTTACCATCTTCATGACTATAACATCATTATCAGATCCAGATCCATTCACTTACCTGGACCCCCCCACTTCTTGGTTTTAATATATATAATATCTCAGCATTTGTGTTTTATGAAGGAAAGTAAATGAAATGTAAAGTCATTTGTTAGGTAAAGCGTAATAGAACAATGGCAAGTGTCAGGGACAAGAAAACACTGAAAAAAGAAGCTTATTAAGTCTTTATGATTGTTAAAAAATAATAAAAAGTACATAATTCGGACTAAAGACGGACAAAATATGTCACTGAGTCAGTTTAATAAATGATAGAAAGAGGGTCTCTTAATGAAAAAGGTTGGGTACTACTCCTGTAGGGGGCGCTGTCTCCTCCTGTATCCTGACTGTGTCTTTTGTTGTAGAACTACACTGAGTGTCGGTGTGTTGGTGGTCTCGGCTTTGCGTCTCCGGGAACCTGTGGCAGCGGATGCTCCCACCTCCTGCTCCCCTTCATGGCCCTGCTGGGCATCACCGCATTCATCGCCGCCTTCTCACAGACCCCCTCCTACATCATGATACTCAGGTATGAACAGAAACGTGTGTGATCTGTAAGATGTAAGATAATACATAATGTGTGTGAGGATGTGTCCTGGCATCGGTGGCACTGAGAGCTCAACAGACTTCAGAAAACACATGACAATGAAGAAAACCAATCATTTGCCAACGAATACAGAAACTCTGCAGATCACACAGAATGGAATTTATTTAAACTCACTCAAAACTCATTTTAGTTAAACTCAATGAAAAGGATTTTGAAGCTGTTATTTTAAGGTTCGAAAAGTTACATAATGTTGCTGAAACAGCCAGCAGCTGAAATAATATCTGAGTCCTTCTGCTTCTGTTTACTATATTTGTGTTTTAGCACTTAAATGCAAATGCTGTCAAGTTGATGATGTTTCTTCATTGTATTGAGCTCTCAGGGCCACTGTAGTATTATTGCCTCCAGTATTTGGTTGTTATTTATTGTTTTAGCTCTGAACCCCAGTAAACCAGTTAGAAACATGCAGTTTTTTGAATGTGCTGCTGATGCACAAAGAACAATGGAGGAGCTGCTCACAGCTGCAGATCATTAAAATAAGTTCCAGATGGTTGTGAAAGAGCTCCAGCTCCGCTTGGGATTGTTTGAAATTAGAGTCAGAGAGTTTTATAATTTTCCTTTAGAGAAACTAGACTGAGCTTTTAGAGAGACTCTCCTGATCCTCTGCTGTCTCACCTGTTCCCAGCTGTCACAGTTTCTCCTGGTGTTCCCAACCTGTCAGTTTCCTCCAGTCCCCATTATGATGTTAGACGGAAAATATGAGCATTAAGTTTAATTTCAGGGTGAAAAAGCTTCAACCCAGCTTCTCAAAGTCCGAGGTGATGTCTTTAAATGTCTTGGTTTGTCCAAAACCCAAAAGACAGAGAGAAGCATGAAATCTCTCTCACTTCTGCCATTTCAATGGCTGAGTTCCTGTTAGGTTATGATGTGACTCCAAGAGGCTTCTTTGTACATCTTGACACGATACATACTGATTTTCATACATACCGGTGAAACAGGATGCCGGGGCTGTTATTTTGAAATGAGCTATTGAGTTTAGTTAGTCCAAAACCCAAAAGACATTAAGTTTAATATAAAACAAGGAAAAGTATGACATTTTTTTGCATGAAAAA